AAAGAGAGACTCAGGGTTTGTTAAAAATACAGACTCTAAAAAATAAAACTTAAATCTGCTTCTGTGTTATGCATCACTCCTTTTCTAAGGAAAAAAGTATTTCAATTATCCCATTAAATTTACATGGAACTTGCAGTCATTTTTTTAGACATTTTGTTAGTCAGACTCACAAATTCTATTAGATTGAGCCTAAAGCTGGATTTTCATCTGAGCAGGTGGAACTGGAAGCAAAAACAAAAGATCCTGGGACCACATTACGTGCTCCCACCTTAGAGGCTGGCCTTGCTCCGGCTTGCAAAGACACTTGTTTTGCAGACCTTAGACTCCGGATATTTGAACGGAGTCATGATGGAACGGAAGGAAAAGTATGATTTGGAAGGGATAAATGACCAATATTTGGTTTCAAATAATGCCCTCGTAGTTTCTTATTATATTTTATTTAATGTTTTTTTGTGGTAGGTTATATTGGATGTTACAAGTGACATGGCAGCAGTAGAAGTAGGGGGAGGGCCGTGGTTCACAGCATGGAAAGGCAAGACTTCAACACCAGAAGTTATCAGTCGTGTTGTTGGGCTTCCTGTTGATGTTGAAGGTATATTCGACTTGGCTCCTTTCCTTAAACCCCCTGGCTTGTAGTCATTGGAACATTTGGTTCCAAACTGCTTTTTATCTTGTGTTGTAGTCTCTCCTTATTTTTATCATGATCATCGTTAAATTAAGTGTGGAGATTTTGCTTAAAAATTGATGTGAATTATTGTAATGATGTAATTATAATAGAATATCTCTTCATAATTTCTTTTGGCTTTCATGCAATTAGAAGGGGCAACATATCACTTATCAGTGTCTGTATATGTTTGACCAACTGTGAAAGTAGTCCAAATTTCTGACTGAAAATAATTTTATTTAATATAATCTCATACCCAGATATGAATCTACTTATCCTTAAAGTGGAAGAGATTAATCTGATATGCACCAATGATTCTAAATTATACGTGCACTGGGATGGCCTCCTGTTTTTATTTTCTGATAATGGTGAGTTTGAGATTTAAGGATGTAGGATATTAGTGTATATGTTTTTTTCTGGAAACTATTCAGATAAATGAGAATGAATTTTTGTCGGTGTGGATATTGATCTGATGTTGATTGTAAGAATGATAGTTGATATATGGAAAAGAGTAACTTTTATTTTTGGTATTCAAAGGATTTGTTTTAGGTTCTTTTCACGACTATGAGAGTAAGAAAAAATCATCGAGTAAGAAAAAAATCATCGAAATTGATTCTCGGACAATTATTATGGCATGATTGGTATGATGGAATGGAATTTCGTAGGAATGGAATGAATTGAAGAATAGAATGATTATGGGAATGGAATGAAACATGTTTTGTCATTGATGTGTTTGGTATGCAGAAGGAATATGACTGGAATGGAATGACATTATCATTTTTTATTATAAAAATAAATAAAAGCATTTTTTTAAAAAATAATATACTTTTAATAAATTATATATAAATGATTTTTTAATAATATATAAAAATAGAATAATATATTTTTAATAATATAAAAAATAATATATTTTTAAAATAAAATAATATATTTTTAAATTATAAATAAAAAATAATTTATTCTTAAAAGTAATATTATTTTTAATATACAAAAAATAATATATTTTTAATAATATTTGAAAATAAAAAGTAATTTTTTTTTAATAATATATATTTTATTTTTAATTAAACAGTAAATAAAAATAAGTTTTCAATTTTTTATTTGAATTTTATTTTTTAAAATAATATATTTTTACAAATATTTAAAAATAAAGTAATATATATTTAATATTTTTCAATAATATATTTTTAATAATATTTTTTTAAAGGTAATATATTTTTAATATATAACAAATAATATATTTTTAATAATACATAAAAGTAAAATCTCTTGGGGGCAAGTCTGGTTTTTGGGTCCACCGCCGCTATCGTCTGCAATGCCACGGGTATGTGTGCGATAGCAAGACTGATGGAGAAAGACTCTTGAGGATAGAGCTTGGTTGATTAAATAATATTTTTTTAATTATATATAAATGCTTTTAGTTTTATTTTTATATAAGTATGTAATATATCTAATTAAAAAATAAATAAAAATAAGCTTTCAATTTTTTTATTTGATTTTTTTTGAAAAAAAATAATTTTATCTCTATATTTTAATCATGATTTATAATATATATTATATAGTTATTTTTTATTATTATTTGTTACATTTATTTTTTGAAATATTGATTCCTACACACATGGGAATGGGAAAACCTTCCATTTACTACGGAATGGCTAATCCAATGGAGATGGGTTTTGTCATTCCCATTGGAATGGTCATTCCTTCCCAAAAAATATACTAATAATGGGATATGGAATGAGTAAGGGAATGATCATTCCATTCCCATGTCATTCATTCCTACCAATCATGCCATTAGAGGTAAAAAAAAGTCATCGATATTCATTCTCGGACAACTATTAGAGGAAGAAAAATAACCAATGTTGATGCTTTTTATTTTTATTTTTTATTTTTTATTTTTTCGAAAAGATTAAACTTCAATTAAAAAACACATATTCACAAATTAAGAATTGGCTGATAGCACTTGAATAGAGCAGCTACACAACTACACGCAAAGGAAGGGCAACCCAAAATTGAAGTAGGCTACAATAAATTCACCCACAACAATACAATACCTCCACTTGAATGACTAACTCTCAACATGAGAATCAACACTTAATAGAAACATAGAAAAAACCCAACTACACAACTAAATCCAAAGGAAGGGCAACCTAAAGAGAAGTAGGCTACCATAAATTCACCCACAACGATACAATACTCCCACAAGTGGAGAATGACTAACTCTCAACATGAGAATCAACACCTAATAAAAAGATATAGAAAAAATCATGACCGGATTCAACCGAAGATCGGCCAGCACATTGATCCGATTTGAGGTATGGGAGCGCGAGACCCAAAACTGTCTACGAAGCGTTTGAATCGGTTAAAAATTGTAAAACCAACAACAATTCGTGCGGCCCAACATTTTAAGTTTTAGTCTTTTTACAATTGTGACTAAGAAGCTAAAGTTATCGTTTAAATAGCTTACTGTTTTTCCATGTGGGATGATTCACAAATAAAGACCTTGCTAAAATGATTGATCGATTTGGGTCTTACGTGCAAAAGCAATGGGATCACGTTGAGGTAGGAATAAAATCAATTTAAACGCCTAAGTCTACTAATTGATCATGGTGAAATTTTATGTTTACCATAAGATTTTTAAATAATTGCAATCCTACAATCATGGTACATTTAATTGCATCTTTACCAATTAAATGACATTTAATTGTACAAATGCAAATATATCAGTTACAAAAAGAAAAGTGAAACGGTTCCTTAAATTGCGGAGGTTAATTGGGATCTCCGATTTACATGATAGAAAAATGTACATGGTAAGTTCATATACCCTACAAATTAAGATGTGGTAACCCTATAAAATTCATATACAGAAAGATATCTAAAATTCAACACTTTTTTGAATTTTGAAATCGAGAATAACTATAGAGATGTCGCCAGATATCTAAAATTCAACACTTTGATGTATAAATGTATTATATACATTTTATAAACGTTTTGTATGCTTTTTTATTTTAATCAGGTCCAAAAAAGTCAGTGATAAGGTGTGCAAGGTATTATATGATGGAAATCTTATATCTATGTTTTATAAACCGAAAATATATGTTTATCTATCTTTTTTACTGTCGTTCAGTGTATGTTCTACAAAATATTATTTTTATAAATAATACATATATACTAAAGATTGTGTTTATTGTACAACTTGTATACCGTGTTATATACCTTATATAACACGTTTGGAACTACGCTTATTCTATACTACTTTACCGTGTTATATACCTTATCTTGTTATGTACTAAACCTAATTGTAACATATACAAATTATAAATCTGTATGAAAAACGTGACTACTTTTATAAACTTGNAAAAGTGTATATGGAACATCACATAAACATTGAAACAAATCATATCGGATGTATCCGTAAAATATACTGCCCATTCAAAAGTTTCGATATATGCTCGCTACAATAGTTCTAATGTTCTTGCAAATTGCTCCAACCTTGCACCTCCTTCACCGAAGATACAACCGTTGCGGTGCCGGGCCAGGACCGTCGGCCCCTCCAACATCACCTTAACCAACTACGCTCGCGTCAAGCCGCCGGTCCTCCTCGACAACGAGTTCTCGATCAATCACACCTTCTGGCACCGTTGGACTCCTAGCACCATCACGCACCCGCCTCCGACGAACGTCGCCTGAATCCACCATCTCTGGCGACCGCGACCATTAGCCACCTCTTCTTATTGTTCGCGTTCCTTCTCCGGCTATGCACAAGTAGCCCGCTGACGCGCCACCTCTATCAACCCGCCGTCTACCACAAGGCCAATGAAATTTTCTGCCTCGAGAACGAGTTTTCGCAATGGATATGGTGTGTGAAGAAGGGAGAGAGGGATGAGGAGAGAGAGATAAAGATAACAAAAAACAAGAGAGAGAGAGAGAGGGGAGAGAGAGAAGAAAAAGAGATAGGGAGAGAGACTCATGATTTGAGCCTTAAAAATATGTAATTAATGATTAAATTATTCCTTAGCTGATATTGAAGTTTTCTGTTATATCTACAAATAAAAACATGATTTTAGGTTGTATTGATAATATTTACAATAAATGTTTAATTGTGAATAAAAACTGAAATGTGTGGTGTAGGGGGTAATAACCAAATTAACCAAAGTAAATTATAATCTATAACCCAAATAACCAAAAGTAGATTACAATCTATGTTTTAAAAACATATTTTGAATTTTGGTATGTTTATTTAATAATATATAATTATATTTTGCTAAAAATAAATAATATATTTATATAAAAATATAAAAAATAATATTTTTTTATATATTTTGGTTTTCTCGGTTATTTCAGGTATTTTTAAAATAACGCCTAAACCAACCCAAAATAACTGAATCTTTAAAAGTAAAAATCGATAATCGAATTGACATATAAAAATTGGGACAAAATATTTTATTTCGGTCGGCTTAAGCTGCTATTTGTCGTCTAACATTCATTATAGTGCAATTAGTCTAACAATAATATGCATTCATAGCACAAATATTTTTAATTATTTGTCTGAAACCAAACTAAAGTTGAACCAAAATAATCAGTTTATTCAATCGGTTAACCGATTCAAACTAATTAAGTAAATACTACATTAATTATATTATAAAAATATATTTAGAATTTTAATATTTTTATTTTATTATTTTAAATTATTTTTGATTGAAAAGAAATAGTACTTATATATAAAAAATAAAAAGAAATATTTATTATTTATATTATTTTAGTTATTCTAAAAAATAAAGCCGACATAGGACCGACATCTGAACCGACTTATAAAAAAAGAAACAGAATATTTACTATGGTCAGTTTTGGACGGTTTTTTCAGTTTAGTAGAAATATTGCACTCTTATCTTCATTACAAAATGCACAATAACGACAAATTAAATGCACAATAATGCATGTGAAAATGCACAATAGTGGCCCTATGCTCTCCCATCTCCTCTTTGCAGATGATTCCTTATTTTTCTGTAAGGCTGGTAATGATCAAGCTGCTGTGCTTATGACAATCTTGTGAGAAATATAGGCTATTCACAGGACAAGCAGTCAATATGCAGAAATCAACAATTTTTTTCAGCAGGAACACACCTTCACATCTGCACCCCTTGTTCCCTTACCTATTTATTATTGTTGCAGAACTGCTTTCAGCTATGATCTCACAGGCCATTGAAATGGTCTTCTAAAA